GCCAGGGAAATCAGGTGGCAATTAATATATCAAGCCTAGAAGTGGTAAACGCGATGTAGAAACTGAATCCAAGGAAATCTTCAGGCCACGACCTTTTTACATCAAAAATGCTAATAGAGCTACCAAGGGTTGCACAAGCATTGCTCTCTGAACTCTTTAATGCTATTCCAAAACTAAATTACTTTCCAAACGCGTGGAAAAAGTCGCAGATATTAATAATATCCAAATCAGGCAAAGACCACACACAGGCGGCTTCTTACTGACCAATAAGCCAGTCTTTCCAAATTCTGCTATCAAAAATATCTTCTTTTCTCCACCGTAATAATGTGATACGAGATCGTGAAAATCATAGTACTATCGAACAAGTTAACCGTATAACTAATAAAATCAGAAAGGCATTCGAGCTCAAGGAGTACTGTTGTGCAATCTTTCTTGACGTAGCTCAAGCGTTCGACAAAGTCTGGCGTAAAGGTTCACTGTACAAAATACACAAAGCTCTGTCAGGTCAATTTTATATGATACTCAAGTCATATCTGACTAACAGACAATTTACCATTGAACAATCTGAAATTATCAGTGAGGAGAATCCGGTAAAAGCTGGTGTTCCGCAGGGTAGCGTCCTCGGGCCTATTTTATACATCATATACACGGCAGACATCTCATTAAACCGAAAAGTGCAGGCATCTACCCTTGCGGATGACACAGCTATTTTATGCCTCTCTCCATCGAAGAATGGCTAAAAAACTGAAGAATTAAAGTTAGTGAACAAAAGTGTAAACACGTCACATTTACTTTAAGATCGCAATCATGTCCTGCAATTCGCTTAAATGTTATAAACATTCCCCAAGTAAATGATGTCTCACTTGGAAGAGACACATGGTTTAGATTGGCTTTTAAATAAAAACTCCGGCCTAAAACTAGACTACAAAGCCCTTATTTACAACGCAGTATTAAAACCAATTTGAATGTTTGGTATTCAACTTTAGGGTACGACCAATTTGACAAAATACAGAGGTTCCAGTCGAAAATTATAAGACCACTAACGGGCGCAGCACGGTGAAGCCAGAAATTGAAAGAGGCAGGACGAAGTACTTCATAAAGCTGAGAAATCATCTAAATCCGCTAACGCTAATGCGTTATGCAACCATCGAGAAATTCGTGCGTGCAGCGAAGAGATCTTGCCGCCTTCTAAGGAGAACGACGGAGTTTGAAAAAGGCTCAGAGTTGCATAACTCGAGCTATCATGTTTGTAGTTCAGTTTTTAAGATTTGTACAGTTACTGTTAGGCTTATATTGAAGCAGATCCAGTAAATAAATATAATGTGTATAGAATAAACGTATTCCTTGCATTTTTTCCTAAACATCCAACTGAACCAAATATAAAAAATACGAGGCCAGACAGATATGTACCAACATTTTATGTACCGTCGGTGACAGGGATAAGTATTATATCATTGGCGCTTTGTAACCGCTGAAGCGATTTGTCGGCCGATCTCCCCCTTCAATTTGTGGTTTTACGTCTTAATGTTTTTCCAACAAATGGAGGGACCTACAATTTATACTAAGCCGCCTCCGAACGGCTGATGGTTTTTTATGTTTTCATGTCAGAATTACACTCGGAGGGGTTGACATTTTCTGCCGAGGGGCGACCGCAATTAGAAAAACGTTTGTATGTTGGTCACACGGGGACTTGAACCCGAGCTTTCCAAATGGCAGTACGCAATGCTACATACAAATAACAAATGGGAGCGATCAGCTGGAAACTATTATTTGTCATGGAGAAACCAAATGCCACATTGCCTACCATACACCCAAGATGCCCTGCTAGAGAGTTTACTGGTATTTCGGAATATAAAAATATCAGTTTCAGATTATTAAAAAATATTTGTTTTTATTATTAAAAATTATTAAGAGATAATTTTTCAATGGATTAGTTCTACATTCCTTCTTTACAAAATAAAATCAATTGTAAGCTGATTGATTTTTCCTGGCAAACTTTCGACTCCAGGTTTAATAAGCAGTGAACAGATTATGTATTTCGTACGATAATTTATATACCTCTTTTAATATGTAAAAATTTGTTAGGTATAAATTCATAGTAGGTACTTCATAAGGAATAGAGATAGATAGTTAATATCGGTTCCCTTAATGCGACAAACTATATATTTTTCTCTGTTGGTACATATGTACATTTACACGTATATACCTGCATAATTATATATGTGACGTTTATGTAAATACAAAAGCGTTTAAATAATAACAAACATTAGGTGTTTTGAGGTTGACTGCATCGAATGAGATGAAAAGATAAATGACCAAACAGTAGATCGCATAGACGATAATAACCTTTATGTGGTCATCGATGCTTAACCCTTAACACTGATACTAAGATGACAAAGTTTGTACTATCTGTAAACTGGCTCGATGCCAGTCTGACAACAAATGAAAGAAATGCAAGTAATGTGTGGAGACAATAGGAGCGTTGATCGGATATAGTGTGTCTGGCAATTCTATGGATGTACGAATATTATCATCTCTTATATTTGAGACCCAATGGGTCAGCCAGCTCAACATAATCTAACCTAATGCTAAAATTTAGAGATATCACTCAAATTTAATGGAAATCTCTTGATGCCTTAAGGAACAGCAACAATTAATTGCAACAATGGATTCAGTATTTTTAGTAACAAACAGTACAACAAACAGTTACTCTCCTATCAATGTTAAACCAATAAATATTTTTCAAAAATTCTTCAGCAGAAGAATTGGGTATAGTAAATAAAAGATTAATTGATATGTAGGAACAAATAAATAAAAGGAATTAATAACGATAAACACATAAAAACATAGGAATCGGAAGATATAGTTTTTATTGGAAGAAATAAAAGTCCTGGGAATTGAAATTGACAAAGTATTTGAAGAATACGCTGTTGAAAAAGTGGGAGTAGTTAAGGATTATGGAATTGATTAATTTGATGGATATATTATATTAGCGGTATAATTTGTTTCGATAAATTTTAAAAAATTTCAGAAAAAAATTTGTTTTTAAAAATTTGTGTAAAAATTTTGCTTTAGACTGAAAATGCAATTAAGCGAAAAGATAATTAAAGTAGTCAAAGATGTATTTTGAGGAAAACCGTTGCTACTTAAAAACTCGCTCTTCTTTTTTTATATAGAATTTAACTAAATAACATTGTGCATTAAAAGACAGCACATTAAATTTTTTGAAGTACACACGCTTTATGATTGATCTATGTTTATTTTCATAACAATTAGCGATGAAGATGTCATTTTAAGAAGTTCAGCTGAAAGAAATGAGATCTGTGCACATTTGAATTATTCCTGTAAGGCCAGTACCTGCGTATACCCTCCTCTGGGTTTCCAGATTTACTTGCAGCTTTTTAAAGTCAAACTGAGTAGACTTTGATGGCATATTTCCTGTAAACTTAATCCGGAAGAATATTTCTTATGGTATAAACAACATTTAAAATAAGCCAACTTTGACTAGAGTATTCAAGTACTATTTTCTACCAAATGAAAGAATACGCCACACTTTCTGTTTTTTTGGGGAGCATAAATATAGTTTAGAGGAATATGGAAACTCTTGTTTTTCGTACATTTGATATAAACCCTTCAATCCTTCGGTGCACGCACAGAGGTATGGATGCTAAGAATTTTGAAAATATTTCTTCTTCACTCTAACTTCGCTTACTTTCAAATTCCATTCTTTGAAGTTGAGAATTTCTATTTAGTATCTTTTATTTATTATTATTTTGTGAACTTAAGCCTATTCATGCGAGGTACCTTCTTCGAGTTCTTGCGAAATAAAAAGTCACTCGCGGATTCGATTTGAGTTGTGTACAATGCACTTTGTGTATAACTGTATCTTTCAATTAATTAGAAAATATATATAAATATTTTATTTGTTATTTATGTGTGTTATGACATTCATATATTACTTTATTGTATTTGAAATACTGTCGCCACGTGCGCGCTTGCCGATAGTTGCTTACAAATCTCGCCAGTTTGTTTGGCAAACACGGCTTATATATACCAAAGGCGCATTAGGGTGTGTCCAAAATATTAGGAAGGCGTCTTGTTAATCGCGCGTTTAAACAAAGCCCAATATTTGTCTCAAATCTGAATCAATATTAAAAAACGGAGTGAAGATTCGAAGTAAGCATCAAAAATTATCATAGAAACAATTTTTAGTTGCTTAAGCTAAACCGTCTGTTATATACTCGTATAAATTATAAAATTGCTGCAGCGATTTTCGTCGAACTCTTTCAGTTTACGATGGGCGTCTTGATATTTCCCCGATAAATGGAGGAACATTAAGTTTTTATTATAAGCTGAATCCGAACGGCTGACTGATTTTTATATGTCAAGTGTCCCCCCTGCCGAGCGACGACCGCAGGTTGAAAAATGATATTTTTACTTTTCTAAATTGTTTTCTATGAGTTCCATAATTTTGGTTTTTGAACATATAATATTAAATTGATGTCCCGAGTGCCCAAAAACTTCCTGCCGTAACGCACAATGTGTTTGGGTCTAAAGCCAAAAGCAAGCGTTATGAATTCGCTTCATTTCTACTTCACTTATATATTTTTAGAGAAATCAGCTGATTTTCTTAATAAAATAAATTTGCTTCCTTTGAGATTTTAAAACCTCTGCCTTTAAAGTGAATTTTTGGTTGTTATTGAAATTTTTAATAATTAAAAAATGTTAATACCATCTCTCTTAAATGGATGAAAAAAAAACTTTTTCTAACTTTTCAGTTTGAATATCTCTGACGTGACGCCAGAGAGAATGAGGAGAAACTATTTCGTATTTGATGTTGAGTTGAGGGTAGCGAACCACAAATTCATTAATTTAACTTGATAATAAGGGCTGGCACATTTGTATACTACTTTGGATTGCTTCAAATCAAAATAAATTACAAAATAGAGTTCCTAAATCCTTAAGTAAATGTATGTAAGAACATGTATGTACATATAAATTTAAAGCTTTCCGCGAGGCACCAATCGAACCCAAAATCCGCATATTGGATCAATTTGGAAACCCCTGACATCATCCATAATATTTTCCACGGTTTTTGGGGAACGTTCCAGCTTGAAATCCAAAATCATATAGTACATCATGGCCTTGGCTTGCATTAGTGCATATCGATTGCCTGTAAATAAATAATTAATGATTGATATTTGCGAATATACTTATATTTTTTTTCTCACCAATACACATGCGTGGTCCAACACCAAAAGGTAAATACGTAAAAGGCTTAATATTATCCTTATTCTCATCGCTAAAGCGTTCGGGCTTAAATGACTCGGGATCTTCAAAATATTTATCGTCATAGTGTAATCCTACTATAGGAAACCAGACATAGTCATTCGCCTTAAATTTAAATATTATATTTCCATCGTCATCGGTGAGATCATAATCTTTAGAGCACAGCCGATCAGTAAACCCAGCGAGGTTCCACTTGCGTAATGTTTCGGAAGTGACCAAATCCATGTATTTCATTTTCATTACTGCTTCGTATGACAAGGGCTTGCCTCCAAGTTCATCGTGCACTTCCAATACCTCTTCGTATAGACGCTGCTGCACATCGGGGTTTTCCATCAGCTCATGACACATTGTCGCAATAAAATTCGCGTTATTTTCAAAAGCTGCAAAAAAGAAGATGAAACACTGTCCAACTATATCATCATCTGACCAGTTCTGGTCGGACTCCTCTTTGGCCTCAATCAATAATTGGATCATATCAGGCCTTTGGACTTTATGTTCCTGGCGATATTTCATTGTATCGATAACTAATCGCTTGAAGTAAGCCATCTTTGCGGTGTCGAATACTTTGTATCCTAGAATCTAAAAGTGAATGAACCACAAAAAAGTAATTCAATGGACATTTCTAAAGAAATAATTAAGACTCAAATAAAGATTTTCTATTTATAACTGTGTATTTGTGCATTTGGTGCTTACCTTTTGAACTTTGGGCATTGAATTAGAGACAATGAACTTAAACATTTGCATGCCGCGGAATTTCGAGACCGACTTACCGATCAAGTAAAACTCATTGTTTGGATTTACATATGAATTGACCTTCAGCCCAAAGGCAGTTGAAGCGATGATGTCATTTGACAGACGTGTGAACAAGTCCTTAAGTTCAATATCATGGTGTTTGCCGCCTTTAGTAAGATCTCGAAGGCAATCCAGGCATTCATTCAGACAATCGCTTATCAATCTAAACATGGCGCGCATTTTGGAGGCAGTGAAGACTGGCGAAAGTGTATTTCGCATATTCCTCCAACGCTCATCTTTCATTACGGTCAACATGCCATTTACTATAGGGTGATCATCGGCTTTAAAGAACGGTGTGTGGTTAACAAAAAAGTCAAAGTCCTGTACTAATATTTTTTTAATATACTCTGGATTTGTCACCACGTAAACGGGAGAGCGGAAATTGTAGAAGCCAACGATTCCACTGAAAAATAAACATATTTATTGTAACGTGCGATGCAAGTATTTTTTCAATCGCCTTTTTTTGGCAGATTTCGCGTCAAGCTGTCATGTTATTTATGTTCAGTATTGTTTGGCATTTAATCATGTAGAGACTTACGTTTCAACTTTATTACGAACATTCACGTTCTGTAAGGAAGGTGCTTCGCGCGCTGCACCCATATTGTGGCCCAGCATTCATTATTGGATAATACATATTTGACCGAATAGACTACGTCCAGCGTGCACTGAAAAAAATATAGCGGCCGTAGCTGAGAATGCACACGAAGACCGTGGAGAGTCGATTCGGCACCGTTCGCAGCAACTCGGACTAACGTATGGAACGACTTTGTGCATTTTACCTCGAGATCTTAAATTGAAAGCAAACTAAGACCAAGCGGCAATGCTTTGCTCTTGGGCTCATGAAAAGTTTTCAAGACAAATTTTGTTGAGCGATGAGGCCCAATGGGCTTGTAAAAACCTAAAATTGCCGCATTGGGGATGTCGCCTGACGGCAAGGAATCTCAACCCGTGCAGGTGTACATATTTCTGATATGAAATTATGAGGAGGCTTAGAATAAACCAGCTGTTTGTTTGATGACAGGAGACATTACTAATTCTTCTTCTTTTCGTTATCGTAACGCCGACTTCTTTCAAATCGTAATATATTTGCTTGACCTACTACTTTCTGAAATGCGAGAAGCTGTCCAACAATTAATGATTGAATTTTGCTACGAACGAGGTGTCACGCCGTCTACAATATAACTGACAATTAGATCACTCAAACTTCCTATTTGAATCGTGTTAGCGTTTACTAATGCGGAGGCATGTCTACGTAGAGTCTACGTGGAATACATATTAATGCAAGTATGTATAATCAGCCATAAACATACGTATGTATGTATGTCATTGCGGTGATACGATACATGCAGTTCTTGCATGAATGCTACGTTCTTAAGGACACAGTTGAAAGTGGAATCAGCATTTTTATTTAGCTCTTTTCGCTGCGTATTTAGAGTACAGCGCCTACTTTGTGGAAGCTTAAGCGGAACCACATTTTTTTTGCAGTTAGTAGTCTTGACCGTCACGATGCGCGAATTTTAATGAAAAAACCCCGTTGTTGTTGATAAGCCTTGAGTAAAAATTTCTATATTGCTACACCTTCTCGAATGCTGGGATGGGAACTTGACTAGAGTACTGAGCGAACAGTTGATCATGCTACAATCCGACTACCACCACATTCTTGTTTTACGTACACAGTGAAAAGGGAGGATTAACAAATTCTAAGATCCTACAGCGTTTACGAAGCGCCAATTAGGTATCCATACGTATATATAAAAATTGAGTATTATTTGTTAATTAATAGACCAACAGAAGTCAGGTGCTATGTTTTTAGCTTCCGATTTAAGATTAATCGACCTAACTTATTCAATCTAAAAGCCTTATGCAATAGCAAATACCTGCAAGGAATGATTGATAAGACTTCTATTTTTTGACCGAATCCGCGGATTTTAAATAAAAAAAGGTTTAGAAAGCTGGGCCAAATTCAATCGCTTTACTCTTACGGCAGACCTTTTACTCCTCATTTTTTACTCATTAAGTTTACGGTGTAAGAAAATTGGGTAATAGTCAAAACTTGATTCCAAAACGGTGTAACAAAATGTTCAATGGGCGAATCGTATTTGCGATTTGTGAAAGCCATTCGGGATCAGTGCTACGCCAACCATCCAATGACAATTCGCGCCTTGAAATACGAAACTGAGGTCGTCATTGCAACTTTAGAGCGCCACTCGACCGAAAATGTGTTGCGAAATTAGCTTGACGGGAATAACATATTATTCCATTGCAAGGCCAGCTGCGACAGCCATTTAAAATCAGTTAACAACAGTAAAATCATTCAAAATTATTATTTATCGGTGATTGTTGCAATAATTTAAAACGCAGATTTTTCGTGACTCACTCGTTATGACACTCCATCTATCTCATGCGAGATATTAAGCAGATAAGAGAATAATTAAAAGACATTGGAATGTAATTGCCAGGACTGCACCGTAACGATAAATTTCCCGTTACACAAAAACTGTCAATTGCTCCAGTTGAAACGTTTGAAAATGCTAACGTTATCAATATAAATTGTATTTCGTTTTAACTCGAAACGAAATGCTGTCGTTAATGTTCATTCGTTAACATATAATGTTGAATGTGTGATATATAAGACCCTGCAGTCATTTTAAAGTTGAAGTGAACTGAGTTTGCGCAGTTTCAACATTAACAATTCCTTTTCTTTTCGATAACATGGCGCCAAAACGAAACAAAATCAATTCATTAAGTTAATTTTTTATAAGTTAACTTAATTACTGTTAAGTTATAGAAAAAAATATTTTTTTCTGTGCTTTCAGCACATGTTACTTTATTGAATTCTAACTTAGGACTGAATTACAATTTTTACTTCCTTAACATTAAGCATCTGTATCACGTTGCGGGCACAGGTGACAGTTTACGGTGTTGGCGAAATGGTTGCGCGTGTACGGGCTATATGATACGTTGATCCGGCGCGGCAGACATGGCATCAGCATTTTACCTGTATTGTTGCTGTGGGTGCGTTTCCGTACCGTGGGAAACATATGTTTGGAGTTTTTAAATGTTAGCAGCGTTAACTTATATTAACAAAGCAAAATGATATCGGTTCGTTAGTTGGTATCGGGATCTCTGGTATTATTTCCTTTTATTAATGAAGCTATGTTGTCAACACTTACTGTTTTCTGTTGCGTTTATAAAAGCCCAACAACGTCTTATTCAAACTTTCTTTATTTAACACCACCGCACCCATATTGCCCACCAGTGGCCATGGCTCTTCAAATGGCACACCGCGTTCTTTGAATGTGTTGTAAGTAAGGGTTGTCCACTTGTAGAAAATGCTCAAGAATATCAAGGACACAAGTCCCAATACGATGAACACCATCTCTTTAAAATCCCAGTTAATTTTATTTCACAACTGTTCAAAATGAAAGTATAAATTAGACTAAAAAGATATTAGAATTTTGCTTAAAATGAAGTATTTTATGAGGAATTCCAAACAAAGGTATAACGGCAAAAGCTTACAAAATGCACTTACTGTAACCGTTTGTATTGTGTGTGTGAAAAAGCTGCGCAACAAACAAACACAACACCTTACCCACCTAAAGCTTATGAAGGTAACTTTCATAATTTAGAACAAAACGTCTAAAGTAAACAGGGTATACGTGTTTTGATAAAAAAGAATATACCTCACAAACGAATTAATATTACGTCAAATACAGCAACTATTGCACTGGAACTATATATTGGGTCTGAAATTTCCGTAATAGCCATTTAAGTCCCTCAATACCAGAACTTCCAAGCTCAAGACTATAATATATCAATTTTTGCAATTTTACCACTGCTATGATACTACTAGATGATGTTAACTCGTGGAGCACAATATGGGGCTCTTCAGTAGTGAATCTAAGAGGCAAAATTCTATAATATGTTTTTCTTTCCTCTAATCTCATAGTTTTAGACGAAAACTCGCCTCTCTACCCATAGAACTCCAGAAACCTTGCTCCAAAATGTACATGGACTGCTTTTAAAGACTTACCATCCTAACAGAGATTGTCTCTAATATACAGAATGCCTCGATTCATTCCGGAACATTTCAACTGGTCCAAGCTTCAAACCTGTTGCGAAAAGCTATCATCTGAATTGCCTGTTGACTTAAACATAAATAAAGAAGCAGCAACCGTAAATAAAATAATAATATTTTCAGCTCATCTTAGTATACCTGAAACAAACACCACCTTTTGAAAACCCACGGTACCTTGGTGAAAACAAAATATGTCTACCTCAGATATGAAAAGCAAAAATTGTGGACCAAATATAAAGTTCAAAGAACGGAGCTTCAAATTTTATAAAAAGGCAAACGCATCTTTTAGACGACATGAACTGGCTAAAAAAATTTGTTTAGTAGAACTTACCTCTTTTATAACCACAAAATCAAACCAAATCAAATTTGACATTATATAAAAGCCTTGAAGGGCAGTTATTTACAAGGAAACTAAGATTTTCTCTATTTCTACCGAAAACGGTACTTTCTTCCACATACTCGTAGATAGCAATCGACTCGGCCTTCGTACCCTAAATGCACAAATTTCCGAACGTCGTTTCAGAAAAATTCGAAGAAGTGGTCCAGGTAGTCAAAAGAAAAAGCCCTAGTTTTCAATGCAATATTAGACACAGGAATTTACCCTCAATATTAGATAAACGCCGATATTGCACCCATACTAAAGCCAAATAAGCCTTTAGATATAGAAAGCAGGTTTCTGATTAAAGTTATTGGTAAATACTCAGATGGGATTAGCGTTTACAATGGCACACCGCAGGGTACACTTATCTCCGTTGCTTCTGTATAGCTTCTGATGAAATTAGTAAAATATTAGAAAAAATATCTCCTTTTCTCAAAGAATAACGGTTTATTAGAATGCCAACATAAGTTTTCAAAATTTCTTGACGATATTGCTGTTTGGGTAGAAAGCTCAGGAGCTAACGTACACGGTGTGTCCCCAAAATAACCGAACTTTTTAGATATAAAATAAAATAAAATACACATTATATTATCTTTGAAAGTTATTATTTATTCAAAATAGGTTCCATTCGACTCAACACAACGTTTGGAACGATCAACCAGCGCATGCATAGATTTTTTTATGTCATTTATAGAAATGTTCTTCAGTACCTCGGTTACGGCTGCTTGAATGGCTGGGATATCATCATAAAATGCTCCCTTCATCTTGGTTTTCAGTTTTGGAAATAAAAAATAGTCACATGGTGATAGATCAGGTGAATACGGAGATGGTCGATGGTCGATGAGAGAAATCCCTTTTTTCATTAAAAATTCGAGCGAGTTTTTGGTCGTCATTTAATTCATGTGAAACAAATCGCGCACAGACCTTTCTTTTCCCCAAATCTTCAGTTAAAATTCTCCAAATAGTGTTTTTACTAGTATTCAATTCCTCAGCCAAAATTCTCGTAGTCAAATTTGCATCGATACCAATGATTTCACGGACTTTTAGTTTCTGGACGTCCTGCTCTAGGGTCGTCATGTAAATCCTCACGACCATTTTTAAATCGTGTGAGCCACGTATAAACTTGCGTACGACTCATACAATCATCACAATAAACTTTTTTCATTAATTTTTTTTCAAGTTTAACACAAAATTTTATATTTGCTCTTTGTTCCATTTTATTTTTGAACCATTAGCACACTTTTAGTTTTATTGAAATGGCTGTCACTTTTACATCTGTCATCCGACTTACATGATGTTAGGTGCGTTTGAAAAAGGATGGATGTAAATTTTTAATGTTGCAAATTTTCAATAGATGGCGCTGTATGTCGTATGATTTAAATATAAAGTTCGCTTATTTTTAGGACACACCGTGTATCACTTTCGACAAAACCTTAAAATTAAAGCAACACTGTATAGATTCAAGAAAAAAATCAACTCTAGATTAAACATCATTAAATACCTCACTTCTAAGAATAGTAAAATACATACTTAGCCTTTAATTAATGTAACTAGATCTTTACAATTAGGACTGCGCTAAAAACACAAAAGACTAGTGATTACACCCTATTACACAGCTGTTCAGGGAAGTCCGATCAAAAATTTATTAGCTCAGTCTGAGCTTCCTTCAATAGATGAACGTTTCAATCAAAGCACTCTTCGTCTAATATCTAAACTGTATCTTGCAAAGAGGCCGTTCATACCTAAAGACGCTAAAAAGTATTATTAAAAAAAGATTAATATTTTTGAAAGCCGACTATCCAAAGGGCCAACAGTAAACAAAGCACAAATTCTATAATTTACCAAAAAACTTTTCAAGAGATCGTTAGAGACCAGTTAATAAAAGACGGTAGGAAGCTAATTGTCGCGTAGCAAAATAAACGCTGGAGTTTGGAAGGAACATGAAAATTTGAAATTTGGAATCCTTCATCTATTACACTAATTTTCACATATGGGTCCAAAATTTCCCAATCCTCGTCCTTCGCTGTAGTTACAGAAGAAGGGAACATGATCACCAAGAGACTTTTATTCTCATACAAATCAGTCTTCGCAGTGGAGTTAACTGTTATCAAGCAGTCGCAAGCCAAGGAAAATATATTAAATGCGCTGACAGCATGTCATCCATCAGTTCACTTCAAAGTCTTCGGAGCAAAGAGCCACTAGTTGAACACTTCAGAGACTAAAATATTTCTCAAAAGTTAAGGTCATTGCGACATAAGAAAAAACGTGTACGCTGATTCCGTTGCAAAAGAAGTCTACAAATCGAATCAGACATCATTCGGCAACTAAAGGCCTGCATGAGAGGATTGACAGTATCCAACTGGCAAACCCACAATCATACCTACAAACTGTTTAACCAGAATTGCTGCAAGCCAGTCTTTCCTGCAAGTTCAACATCGGATCAAGTAAATATTTTTTGGTAGAATGAGATTGGGGCACACAAAAATTATCCACGAACATCTTCTGAAACGTGAACCCAGCCCAATCTGCTTAGAGTGCAAATACCCACTGTCCATAAATGATATTCTCGAATTTTGTCCAAAATACCGAAAGGTTAGGTTTAATATATTTTATAACAAAAAGCCCACAGATCTACTCAAAACATGTGACTTTGAAAACATAGAAACTATTTACAAATATAGTACGAGAGAGAGAGAGAGAGAAGTAATATTTCATTAGTCTTATCTTAAGTATAGTTCATATCTTAATTTAATAATAAAAAAAATATTGTCAAAAGTCTTTAGGAAAAAAAAGCAAGCAAATACATTCACAATTTAAGTTTTTGCACCACACGCATTATATATAATTTTATCTTATTCTTAGGATATTTGTTACCCTTTATAATATCTTCGACTTATACATACATAACTCAGGACGATAGCCTCCGTTGCTAGTTGCCTTAATCTTGTAATGTAATTGTTTATAATTATATTTCAAATAAATAAATAAGTACACCAGAGATATATAGATGGGGAGGTTATGCACCCCGACCAGTGGTCTATTGTGTCCACTGATTCTTTCATATTTCTTCAATATGTCCTAGCAGTCCTGGCAGAATAGAAGGGTTGATTGATATGATGTGATTTTGCTCAGACTGAAAAAGATCATCATCCTTTGAAGCCGCTTCTATCGCAAATTTATCTGCAGTTTCATTCGATTTAATACCTGCATGTCCCGAAACCCAGATGAGCCGAGCTTTGTTTCGTTCGCCCTCCTCCTTTAGATTCTAGACATTTTCCCATACCTGAACAATATAATTTCACCTGATGATATCATCCCAACTGCCGCCTGATTGTCACCGCAAGTTACTATATGTTGATTGACAGTCTATCTTTTAAGTGTGACATCTGCTCATGAGTTAATGGCGAACACTTCTGCTTGGATGATGTTAGGATATTTTCTCAAAGGTATGGATAGTCTTGTTTTGGGGCCCGCAATACTCGCACCGTAATCATGTACTTCGACTACGTTCGCTATCTTGCCACAGCGAAGGTAGCACCCGGCTTTGTATATCAAAGAACGCCGAAAAGCTGCAATCACAACAAACAGCCGAACAGTTTTCTGCTCGGGTTGCATACCTGCATTCCACCAGTGCCAGAAAAAGAGATAGTACGATGGCTGCATGGTGAGAAAACAGACTGCCTACCTCGCAACCTTGGGATCAACTGGGATAGATACCAAGAGCAGAAAAGGGAAGCAACACGCATTTGCAGACGAAAGAAGAATCATGAGAGGGAATTTAACATCGTTATAGCGTTAGTTTATTTTTCATATTTTTAATCAAATAAAATGAAAGAAGTACAATTACTAGTTAAAACATATGTGTAAATATAATATATATACAATAATATATATACAATAATCTCCATCAATTCCTATATAAAAAACTAGCTGCTTCGAGGTACCAGCCTGACCCAGAATCCACCTAATGGATTTACTTGGAATCCGCGCACATCATCCACGATATTTTTGACCGTTTTTGCAGAACGTTCGATCTTGAAATCCAAAATCATATAGTACATCATGGCCTTGGCTTGCATTAGTGCATATCGGTTTCCTATTTGGCAGAGGTACTCATAATATATCATACTGTTGGTATACAATATTTATATAGTCTAAACCCATTACTCACCAATGCACATCCGCGGACCAGCGCCGAAAGGCAAATAAGTGTAAGGTTTAATGTTGTCCTTATTTTCTTCGCTGAATCGTTCAGGCTTAAATAAATTGGGGTCTTCGAAGTATCTTTCATCATTATGTAGACCCACAACAGGGAACCAAATATAATCACCGGCTTTAAATTTAAAGATCAAATTGCCTTTGTCGTCGGTGAGATCGTAATCTTTTGAACATAAGCGATCAAGCGCTCCTGCCAGTGACCATTTGCGTAATGTTTCCGAGGTAACCATGTCCATGTACTTCATTTTCATTACTGCTTCATAAGTTAAAGGCTTACCAGCAAGTTGGTCACGCACCTCCAACGCCTCCTTGAAAAGGCGATCCTGTACTTCAGGGTTTTCCATCAACTCATGACAAATGGTTGCTGTGAAATTCGCATTGTTTTCAAATGCAGCGAAAAAGAATATGAAACACTGCGCCACGATATCGTCATCGGACCAGTTTTGATCAGTCTCCTCTCTGGCTTCAATCAGCAATTGGATCATATCTGGTCTTTGTATTTTATGTTCCTGCCGATATTTCATTGTATCAATAACCAGTCGTTTGAAATAATCTGTTTTCTCAGCGTCAAACACTTTAAATCCAAGTATCTGTAATAAAAATGTATCGTAAATAAGTAATTTTATAATATTCCTAATAGGCTCGAAGGACACTTTACTATGCGATTTTAACCAGTTCTTAAACCTTACTTTAATAGTGCCGATACTGATACAATTAATATTTCTGACTTTTAAGTTTAGAAAATTATCGATATCTTTCTACTTTTTTATGGTTGAGCTGTGTATTTATAGATTTATAAATTTTCTGCTGGCCATTTATAGTGGGAATTTCCATAAAAGCCTATTAGACGCGGTGTCGATAATGGATGACCATTGATCGCAAATTATCTCTCTTTTTGCCCTAAATATACTTTTCATTTGCGCTTCAACATACGTGTATGTACCTTCTGAACTAAGGGCATTGCGTTCGCTATAAAGAACTTCAGCATTTGTTTTCCTCGAAAATTGGCAATGGCTTGTCCAATAGAATAAAATTCATTATTCTGATCCACATATGAATTGACCTTAAGTCCGAATGCTGTAGAAGCGATAATATCGTTTGACAATCGTGTGAACCATCCTTTAAGTTCAACATCATGGCTTTTGCCGCCCTTAGTTTCCTCACGAAGTCGATCCAAGCTTTCATTAAAACATTCAGTCATTAAACTAAACATGGCACGCATTTTGGCGGCAGTAAAAATCGGTGTAAGTGTGTTCCTCATATTCTTCCAACGCTGATCCTTCATTACGGTCAGCATACCGTTAACAAGCGGATCATCTTCGGAGTTGAAGAATGGTGCATGGTTTACGAAGAAATCAAAATCCTTCACAATCATTTTCTTAATGTACTCTGGATTTTGAACCGAAAACATTGGTGAACGAAAATTGTAAAAACCAACGATATCACTGAAAATTGAAAAAGGCAAAAGTTTTTCATTTCAAATCAAATAAGGAATAATTAAATTAATTCACAACTACTGTACGAGTATATTCTATAGATTATCAGTGTAAACTTAATGTATAAATATTTTCGAAAACTCCAATCCAGCATCTATCTTTAAATCTAAAATTTGCGCTGTAGATAAAATGATTTTCCATTTCATATATACAATATTTTGCCTGAAAAGGTACTTTTGATTAACTAAATCACACTTATTCTAAGGTCTACTAAACACCGTAGGTATAAGCTCCATGGTACTCTTAAATTTAAGCACTTTTTAAATGCCTTTAGTTTTGTTACGTAAAGAATTAATCTTAGACAAATGGAAAAATAATACTAATTTTAAGAAATTTATAAGAAAAATAAGTGTGCTTAGAGTGCAAATATCCACTGTCTATAAATCATATTCTCGAATTTTGTTCAAAATAGGTTTAACATACAAATTTCATCACAAAAAACCCACAGATCTACTCAAAACATGTGACTTTGAAAACATAGAAACTATTTACAGATATAGTACAAAAGAGAGAGGGAGAGAGAGTGGGATTATATTTCATTAGTTTTATCTTAAGTATAGCTTATATTTTTATTTCGATTAACATATATTACAATAACAAAGAGATTGTTAAAAACCTGTAGATAAAAAACCAAACAAATACATTCAAAATTTATTTCAAGAAGCCCGCCCAACCGACACGAGAGCCGACATCCGCATAACGTGCGGAATACGTGTATGCCGTGTCATGATAGGGAAGCGTTGGTTAAGCTTTCAGCTGTAGAAAAAGAAATTATTCAACTACTGAAAATTAGTAAATATGGACTTTAAAATTTAATTGTTGAGAGTTGAATAGTTTTATTGGTGCTAAAAGAGATATCGACTCACTTAAAATTGTGACACAATCGGTGAAAGAGTTCAATTCATAATTTCATTCGCATTACTGTAATAGTAAAGGCCTAAACTGCCTGGATGCACGAGTTTGAACATTTAGGTTTACCTCAGATAAGAGCCATGAACTGCTAATTTATCCGTTAAGAACAGGGCGCCTACCAATTCTCCACGGCTTGCGAGAGTAGCTAGATTTAGGAGCATTAAACGCTCGGTATGGGGAGGAAGATTTATCGTAGAGTTCCATCGGAAATGTCTTAGCGCAAAAAGTTAAAATTATTTTTGAACAGACTCCAATTTATCGGAATGAACCTGATAATTGGGGCTCCATATCAGTGAACCATATTCTAATTGGTTACAAAAGGGTCTTTGAATTCTTTTGACCATCTCTTGACAAAGACAAAATCTTTTTTGGCTCTTAAGACAGTGGTATTGACATGAAGATGGAAATTGAACTTCGAGTCCATCATAACCCCCAACAAAGTTGAAGACATGCTCTAGAGCATAAAACAAATCCTTTATTACCGATTATATATCATTTATGATTAATAAATAGGAACAGAATTGGGCCGAGGTGGCTACCTTTAGGAACACCTGATGAGACATTAATTAATTGTGATAGTCTAAATCAGTGCTGTCCAAACTTTTTTTGGCGCAGAGAATGATATTCTTTTTTTCTGTCTGGCTTCGATTGGATTAGTTCGCATCGAAGTTCAGATTCCAAAGTTTGTTGCGATATTTCATTGCGGTATTTATTTTTACGTCGCGAGAGACTTGAGAATGATGCTTTCCAAACGTATGTGGAATGGAACCAAACATGTAGAAAAACTTTGGGACAATGTTTTTGAGTGTCAAGAAACTACATACTGATCTTTGTTCCGCAAAGATCTGACAATTTTTGAATATTGTTTGATCACAAACTAATGGGTTTTTGAGAAATTTTAACGCCAACTGAAACTTTTAGAAATCAATATATTGAATGAAAATATTCATATCGTGATCTTCATTATATTCATTTGTGTCTAACACTGGGAAGAAAGAAAAATCATTTTCGTTAATTTGGTTTTTAAATGCGACCAATTTCAACTTGAATATCCTTTGCCAAATCCTAAATGAATTTATTCTTTCCTTGTAGCCTCACATTCAACTCGTTCAAATGTTTCGTAATATCGGCCAAAAAGTACAGTTTTTCTTTCCATGTATGTGTCAATATTTCACTGAATTCTACAACCAAGTGTTGTTCTATGCGAAATACTCCGATTTCATCATCCAGATCTCACAACCGATTCAAGACATCTTCACACTTTAGCCAGCGAATGCTTTGAAAGAACATTATAACACCAAATTTTGAATTTAATTTTTCTGTCAACAATTTGAATCGACGATGACGTAGTTCACTCGCTCTGATTGCATTGATGATCTGCAAACAAATGAACGGACAATACAGCTAACTACTGATTGTCCTATTATTGTCAAGATGAAATTGCTTCGGTCAACATTTTGAATCGTTTTTTGAAAAAATTTACAATCATTTTTCGAAAAATATTAAAGTCTTCTCGTTGGCCGCTGAAATTTGTCGCTCGGCCACTAGTTTAGAGAGCACTGCTTTAAATGTTACACGTTGTGTTCTATTGCAAGGGTTCGAGGAAAGCCATTGAAGAAATCTTAGTTGAAAGCCAAGAAGACCTGATTTTTTGGATGAGAATCGAGTGATTAACCCTATCTGAAGTTGGTATGGATAACGTCGCTTATTATCTCTAAAGGCTTTAGAGATATGTGACACAAATTCAAGCAAATTTGTATTTGTGATTTTCTTTACAAAACCCGCGTTGGGAATTGGATAGTAGTTAGGAGATCGAAAACGTTATCTGACCAGTAATGATTGCCTCAAAAAGCTTCGGTATAGCGGACCTCTATAATTCTCAATATTAAACCTATAACTACTCTTACGTAAGAATACTATAAAAGACTGCTTCAATATTGTGTTCTCTCCTTGTTCGAGAGAAGAATTAAAAAGTTGAGTTAAAGGCCAACACAGATTTTCTGTACAACTTTTCAGAAAGTATGTAAGAATCATAACCGGACTATAACTAAAGGAATGTTTTAGATTCATCAAATACATTACATGTAACTTTATCTTATTCTAAGAATATTTGTTACCCTTTATAATATCTTCTACTAATACATACATAACTCAGGACGATCGCCTCCGTGGCTTTTTGCCTTAATCTTGTAATGTATTTATTAATAATTATATTTCAAATAAATAAATAAGCAAACCATAGATATATAGAGGGAGAGGATATGCACACCGCCCAGTGGTCTATTGTGTCTTCTGATTCTTTCATATTTCTTCAATCAGTCCTAGCAAACTAGAAGGGTTGATTGATTTAATGGGATTTGCCGGTCCGGTGTACCCGGTCCTTTTTTTTATTGTTTTAACCCGTTACTTGTATACCAATACCAGTTTCTTATTCTATTTTCTTCATTTCTTAGCTTTTGGCTTATTTTATAAGGTCCTATGGAGGAAGAAAGATCCTCATTATTTTGAGCTAGTGTGAGTTCAATGCCGCTGAGTGTGAACTTTCCTTATGGCGAAAATATTCGTTTATATTTTAGATTTATTGCTTTAAGCTTTGTTCCAAAGATAACAAATAATTTGAATATTTACTATCTAACTCAGTTGGAAATATTGTATTGTATTCTATGAGGGTGAACCAAAAGCTTCTCCAGCTATGTGAATGAATTTTGAGAAAAACTTCTCACTGGCACATTTTTATGTTCATATGTGATGTGTATGTAACGGTTATTATCTTGTTATAATACTGATAGAAATCATTTTCAATTGATGCAATTATTATCAATTCCTGAGGTTCACAGTTCACGATGTGGACAAACTCTTATGTATTTTTTTGCGTGAAATGGACATTTAACATGCTTAAATGAACTAGGATTTAGGAATGTTGAATTTCTACTTAACCAAAAAATAAAAATGATGAAAAACAACAATAAGTAAACGCAGCACACATGCAGCTTAACGGGATAACCATTGGCTCGTGCTGTGGGCATCCCCTAGTTAACATCAAATTCGAACAAAGGTCTCTGGAAAAAGAAGTCTGAAGAGGAAACGTGGTGGTTTCCGAAATAGCAGCTATAACTTCTGCCGTCCAAAATTGTTGTTGTAATTTTTTCACTATTTCCAAAAAATATATGGTCTGAAACAATTCCATAAAAAACCAAAAAAAAAAATGAGTTTACCTGCACCGAGATGCGAGCCATAAACCTCGCACTCTATGATGATAACCTACACGTATAACCACAAGGCTGTCGTGACGAATAAGCGATGAATCTCATTGTTCGCACTTCAATAGAGCGCAACTAAGAATCTAATCTAATCTGAAAACCAGTTGTATTCCAATCAACAACCAGCATTTCCCCCCACAGTCATTGCTTCTGTTGCTGCTGAATCCGAACGGACTATAAATATCCGTAAAATACATATATAGATTTGTGCAGTATAGAATGTCAACTTGGTTTATAGTGAGCATACATATGTACATGTATGAAAGCTGTTTAGGCCTACTTCTTTAATAAGGAAGGTGACAAAGCTCAAAATTTGTGATTGGCTGAATAGTTTCTGATCACAGCGTCTGATCCATATAACATTCGAGGCCATATCTATCTATCATACTAAGTGAAAGATAACCAGCTCGTATCTGGAAAGCATACCACACCAAGGACCAGATATACATATTTACATACGTTTTTCGCTGAATCCTGGAAAAGACTAGAGAAAATGGTTTCCTCCTCCATTTTTAAGCCGCCTTCGGAAAAGGTTACCCTTCAGCAGCTTGGTCTGACTTTTTTTGAAAAAAAATAAAATAAAATAAATAATTAAAAATAAAACTGCGTAAACGTTCACTGAACTACACCGGAAGATCTCTCAGATCCGTTCGGTGCCAAACATAAAGGGTAATTTTTTAAGAGCTATAGGAAAGTTTTTCAAAAAAAAAAAAAACATATAAATTTCAGAAAAATTCATGAAATCGTTATTTGAGCCGATTGTATCGTCCACATAATTTAATGTGTGAAGATTATTTCATGCAAGAAGAAGCGCGCGATGAACCTTCTTAACAGAGCATGCATTTCGATAATGAAATTCAATAATTGGCAAGCGTTGTTCCTTTGTAAGACGATTCATGGTTAAATTATAGACCGAACTGAAGATGTTTGGCAGTAATACAAAACACAAACCGAGCGACAGCTGTTTAAACCAGTGTTGCCAAAAGGATAATAGCTAAAAAAATCACCCTTTAGTTTCAAGCAGGCCTAGAGTTTTTAATAAATTGTAACCACGGGCGGCCGACTTTGGTGAAAAGATCAAGTGAAAATACACAGGACCTTACTTGGCGCCCACAATTGGATTAGAACTAAAAGCTTAAAACACTTGCGTGCTGTTTTTGTCTCAGCTGCCTGCATATCTGTACAAATTTGAGAAAGGTGACTTTGTAAAGTTTTTAATTTAGAAAATTATGTAGATATGCGAGTGGGTAGCTTAGATTTGTTGCATTTTGCCTTCAATATCATGAACAAATTAGGCAATGAAATCCAGAAATGCAACTTTATCGTAAGGTTCGCTTTACTATCTCAACACATATTAGTTCGTGAAAAGTGCATATAAATACGTATACATATATACATATATATTGTATTACTTACTTTACGTTTGTATTTCTCATACATATGCAGCTTGCATGGAAATTAAGTTTATTACTTATCTTTTGATAATTGATATAAAAACATCGATGATGTATCTACACATATGTACAAACATACATACACGTATATGCACTTTAAATGAAGTGAATTAATAATATTGTATATAATAAAAACAAAGAAATTTCCCAAAGTGTACAATTAACACTGCGCATAATAAACACTCACTGCTCTCTATTGCGGTTGTAAAAGTCCAGCAAAGTCTTATTGAAGCCCTCCCTATTTAAGACCACCGCTCCGGCGTTGCCCACTAGCGGCCATGGCTCTTCAAATGGCACACCGCGCTCTTTGAATGTGTTGTACTTAAGTGTTGCCCATTTGTAGAAAATGTACAGGAGCAGCAAGGACACAAGCCCCAATTCGATAAACACCATCTTTTTGCCCTTATTTTATTTTTTATTTTTATTTTCAATCTCAAGTTTAATATTTATCTGCAACCGCTCACATTGGAAGTAGGAATAATACTGAATTGTTACTCGAATGTTTTGTCGAAGTAAGTGCATGATAAAACGCAATTTTGAAATCAGGCGGGGGTCGTTTTTCTCAGTCTTATAAATTATATCGCGTCGCTATTGTAAACTTTGCATTTCAATAAATATTTACATATATATTCTCTCAGGCATCACAGTCTTTTTAAAAGCTTTATTGCAATGAGAGGGAATATCAGAGAATTAGAAAAAGCTATAGAGAGGAAATAGATAGTGAAAAGCTTCACGAAATGGTTTTAGTTTACTTAAATCTATGCATGTGTATGTGCATATGTATTATATTGAGTACCAGCTTTTAAGTGCGATCTAAGTTGTGCCCAGCGTGCAATTTTTTTCGTCAGGTTTCGTAATTTATTAAAAAGAAAATATTGTTTTTCTTTTTTTTAAGCGTAGGTTTCTTATGATTTCTATATAACGACCACCGTTCATCAATTTATCTTTTTATAGAAATACTTAAGTGCATATTCATAGCTGTTTTCCAGCTACTTTCTCTTAATCAAATCCGAGTTGAAATCAGTTAGGGACCAATATTTTGTTTTAATATTAATTATATTAAATATTTTTGAGACAAATTTATGTTCTTATATTGATTTAAGTTGATAAAAAAAATGAAAAAAGACGTTTCAACGCTATGACTTTGCAACTTATTTATAGCTTAATACACCAAATTTTTGTGGCGTATGCCGTGTATCTCTGATAAAATGCGATCAATTGACGAAGGCTTTCAGTTTCTTTAGTTATGGACTGGTCGAACCGATAGAATGTCTTTACAATAGTCATCACGTTTGGTTCGCCATTTTCGCAACAGACTCCGTGCATTTTCCCCCTTTGAATTCAGGTTTCGGCCCCTCTTTTTCCATCTGCAAATGGGTCTTGCTTCTCTCTTGGACTTTTCATTCCTTTCCCTGCGTCACGTGAGGCAATTGATTAAATTGTTGAACGTTCTTTCCGCTGAGTCAGTTTTTCTTTCCACTTAGTCAAAAAGAAGTTGTTTTATTGGAAACAATATCGAGTTGATGTCGTTTAACAGGAAAGACCGATTTGGTTTTGGAATCAGGTATAAGGTAACCACGTCGAACCACTGGTAAATACGAAACAGTCAAAGCTGATCAGCTTTAGTTCACTCGGAGGAGTCCCGGCATGAAGGAAGATTTTTCGTACCTTCTTTGCTCATTCTGGCTAGTGTGGAGACTAGTTTTTTGTAGATTTGGTATTTTCTTAGTTTGGGTGTTTGGATATTAAATTTTACAAACAAATAGATGACGAACTTTTCGAATGATAATGGCAAATAATGAAATCGGAATAGTAAGTTAAATTTGTATGTTAAATTTTAATAAATGGGAATTAATAGGCCTGCTGAATGGAGTGAAAATGGAGTACCCGGAGATGGTGAGCCCGAAACCCCAATCGATGATAATGGAAAAGACGTTCCACTACCTGACCATGATGATAGCAAACGCCCTCTGAAATAACAAATAAAGCGGCAGGAGCTGATGGCCTACGGGCAGAACTATTCAAGCATGACGGCGAAGAGCTGATACTACTTTGCAGAATATGGTCGAACGAAAGCATGCCCAACGATTGGAATATAAGTGTGCTGTGGGGACCCCGCAGTCTGCGCCAACTATCGTCGGATAAGCCTCCTTAATATTTCACATAACGCCCTGTCAAGCGTATTGTGTGAGAGACTAAAGCCAACCGTCAACAAACTGATTGGAGCTTATCAGTGTAGCTTTATACCCATTAGTAATAGGGTTAAACTATTACTCACAAGGCAATGGCTTTCAAAATGGAGTTGGTATTTTCCTAAGTTCAGTCAATTTATGTATAAATGAGAGTTGAAAAAATGGAGCTCAGAAATAGCTTCATCACTGTGAATTTTATCGCGTGTAGCTCAATTTGTAATAATTCATAATAGACATTTTCGGTTCTACAAAAAAAAAATTTTAGCAGTTTCAACTGACTGGTCAATCCCAAAAATTCTTGAAACACTGCTTATTAAAAGCCCTACTAACTGTTGAAAAAATATGTTTAACAGCAAAGTCATAACGTTATACATATATTTCACAATAAATCATTAGTTGAATGAGTCATGGATGCATGTGATTGAAATATAATGGGATGCATCGTTTTCTTTGTTTTTTAAGCACTCACAATCTATAAAGGTTAACGATCAAGTGGCCAAGTTATAAATATACGAAAGTAAATACACTAGAGGGTCTTATTTTTTTATTAGATAGTAATTACTTTTATATGTACCGTTGTGGGCCGATTGTCAAATAAAAGTGATTTTATGGCGCGAATTAAAACCAAATCGAAGAAAGTTATGCTTCTAACAACCATAGTCGTGAAAACGATATTGATGACTACATTAATGAGCCCAATAATGTCCTTGTTTCTGCGGTAACCATAGCAACTCCAAAAATCCTAACAAATACAGAAATAGAAGAATTAGTAAAGAATAAGCGCCGTTCGCGGAGAGAATGGCAAGAATATCGCTCTCCAGCCGCAAAGTTACGGTTGAAAGCAGCAGAGAGAAAGCTGAAAAGTGCACTGAAACGAGCAGAAGATCACAATGAAAAAGAAATTTAAGCCTCCAATGGAAGTGAATATGCCAATCGGGGACCCAAATGGTAACTGGACACCTGGTAACGTATTCCAGCCAAATGATGCAACTAATAATTTTATTTCGCCGGAATTTGTTGTAACCGGCCAGGGAAATCAGGTGGCAATTAAAATATCAAGCCTAGAAGTGGTATAGGCGATACAGAAACTGAATCCAAGGAAATCTTCAGGCCAGAGTTGCACAAGCATTGCTCTCTGAACTCTTTAATGCCATTCTAATACTAAATTACTTTCCAAACGCGTGGAAAAAGTCGCAGATATTAATAATAGCCAAATCAGGCAAAGGCGGCTTCTTACAGACCAATAAGCCGGCTTTCCAAATTCTGCTATCAAAAATATCTCCTTTTCTCCACCATAATAATGTGATACGAGATCGGGAAAATCATAGTACTATCGAAAAAGTTAACCGAATAACTAAAGCAATCAGAAAGGCATTCGAGCTCAAGGAGTACTGTTGTGCAATCTTTCTTGACGTAGCACAAGCGTTCAACAAAGTCCATCTTAAAGGTTCACTGTACAAAATACACAAAGCTCTGCCTGGTCAATTTTATATGATACTTAAGTAATATCTGACTAACAGACAATTTACCATTGAACAATCTGAAATTATCAGTGAGGAGAATCCGGTAAAAGCAGGTGTTCCGCAGGGTAGCGTCCTCGGGCCCATTTTATATACACTGCAGACATCCTTTTAAACCGAAAAGTGCACACATCTACCTTTGCGGATGACAAAGCTATTTTATGCCTCTCCCCATCGAAGAATGGCTAGAAAACTGGAGAATCAAAGTTAATGAGCAAAAGTGTAAACACGTTACATTTATTTTAAGACCGCAATCATGGTATAAACATTCCCCAAGTAAATGATGTTACATATCTCGGTATACATTTGGATAGACGTCTCACTCGGAAGAGACACAAACGTGTAGTTTAAATTGGCTTTTAAATAAAAACTCCGGCCTAAAACTAGACTACAAAGTCCTCATTTACAACGCAGTATTAAACCAATTTAGATGTACGGTATTCAACTTTAGGGTACGACCAAATTGACAAAATACAGAGGTTCCAGTCCAAAATTTTAAGGGCACTAACGGGCACACCATGATACATTCGTAATGTAAATATTCATAAAGCCTTTGGTATTTTACTGGTTAAGCCTGAAATTGAAAGAAGCATGACGAAGTACTTCACAAAGCTGAGAAATCATCCAAATCCGCTGACGGTAATGCGTTATGCAACCCATCGAGGTTTTTAAGGTTTTTACACTTACTGTTAGGCTTACATTAAAGCAGATCCAGTAAATAAATGAATTGTGTAATAAAAAAAATATATATATTCGTGGACGGAAGTCTTTCGGGCGAGGGACCAAGTTTTGCTTGAAAATGAGATACGCAATCTATCGGTTGTTTGGAGGCTACATAGAATAAACTGTAGGTCCCTTTATTTAACACGCACTTCAAATTGCAGAATCCCTTTGGCGTTTAGAGCAGAAGCTGTGTGTATTTTTGTTTTCTTTCTAGCTTAAATAAATCATATTTAATTGGTCGTGCTAACTACAGTCGAATAAATTATTGTTATTTTTTTAATAACTTTAATAAACGTCTGTCAGTGAGCTTGAAACTCGGATTAGGGAGAAACCTCTATGAACGAAAAAAATAAAAATCATGGTCCCTGAACTCTCTCTTAATCAGGTTTCACAGTTTAAAGAATCTCAACAAAAACAATATCATTTGCAGAAGAATTAAACGTTGACTAAAAAATGTAAAATGTCAAAAAATGGATTCTATTCTTTGCAGGACGAGTAAAGCGCTTCGAGTTCGAAATTCTTGCCCAAGAGACATTATGGCAAATTGTTATAAGTTTCACACTAATATAATATATGGACTACTTGTTAGGTAGGTGACACTGCACACAAAAACCTTTTACGGAACTCGATCTATATGTAAAAAATGTGGGTCTACGCACTCAATTATTGCACCAACAATTTTTGATTTGTTTCACCTTAAATGTAAACTAACTCAAATTTATTTTACATTATTTCAGACAATACCATGGACGATATGATAGTCCAGAACAATAATCAACACTCAGTATATGTACTGAACTCTAATTACCGATATTATGGGGTAAGGTAAAAAATACAAAAAAGTATTGAATAAAACAGAAACAAAGAAGACAATTTTCACTTCCCGCAGAATTTTTCACGACACAATTTACTCGGAACCAATGATGGGACCAATAAAAATTCATCAAATTGCCAACACTCATCAGCAGCGAGATCCGGCAATAGAAGTTGTTCAGCCAGTACACTAACATTCGAACATAAATTATGTAATTTGGGGAACTTTCGCGACGTTCCGGAAGCAATCGGAATTCCTGTCACAACCGCCCCACCTTCGCTTTCCGCAACAGTGCCAACAACAACAATAGCACCGCCCCCAACGAGATGCCTGCCACCAACGACTGCAATTCAAAAATTCTTCAACTGCAGCTACGTGTCAGCTGCCGGTGAAGGCAATGGCGTACATGCGCTGCTTGCTGGATCCAGTCGCGGCGACGGATGTGGAGGGGCAGTGGAAGTGCTCTCTGTGCAGCGTACATGCCAAATCAAAACTAGTAGTAGCAACAATAAGAAAAAAAGTGTTAACTTGAAACCATCGCTCATCGCAAAGAAGACGAAATTTCGAAAATTTATTGAGGAGGAAAAGTGGAGGGCAAATGAGGAGTGCACTGGTGAAAATGAATTTCTGCATAGGTGAGTTGAGTAACGGTTGGGCTAGGGGATTTTTCTTTTTAAAACTGTTATACAAGATGCTAACCGCAAGACCAGCTGCGGTCTTTTCTGCTGTCTGTCATACGAGTACATAAATATGTATCGATGTTTATATATTTACTTTCTTGAACTTAAAAATTTCCGCTGAAATGAATTGAAATGATCACGATTAGCAGACACGGTTTTTACCTGGCAATATAAAATCTATTAATTGCCTTCCGTTTTAGTTATGTACAAATGTATATGTGTGACTTTTTTCAATAAATTAAATAAAAAATATACATATACGAGGAGATTAACAAAAGTTCGGTAAGTTGATCAAAAACAATTTTTTTTTTGTATTTATTCGTAGTCTTTGTCCTTTTTAACTTCTCTACATATGATTCCAAATGCATTTCTTAAGCATGCAGATCCACTTCTGAAGACAGTCTTCAAAGTCTTGCCTTTTAAGCTTATCAAGTTAAGCATTAACCGCAATAATTATCTTCTATCGAATTTTTTGAATTTTTGGAAATAACCAGTAATCAGATTGTGTTATATCCGGATAATATGGTGTTGGACGTATTTCTCCGATCATGATGTAAAAAGTAGCGCCGCAAATCTTCTTTCTTCCTACTTTCCAACAATTTTTTTAAAACTTTTTCGCCATGGCATTCAAGCCCAATTCATTAGCAATTTAGCAAATTTGAACTTCACCAGAGCTATAGTGACGTCATCAGTGCAAGGTGTTAGTCGGCCTTCTCGGGACTCGTCTTCTACGGAAAAATGTCCGGTCTGGAACCGTCTTTAAAGACGGTACAATCGTTACATCTGCAATTTGGCATTCACTGAATATTTGCATTAGCTGCAAATTACACCGAATGCGAAAAAGAATCACTTGGCGGGTTTCTGTTTGCGGTGGTGGTGGAATTTCGTCTGACCTATCCTCAGCCATCAGATCGTTCTAAAATTTGAAAGGAAGACTAATAAAGCAATTGAAAAGGATTTGATATTTTTAATCTTAACAAAAACAAATAGAAAATTAGCAACTGACCGAACTTTGTTTAATCCCCTCGTATGTATTTCTTTACGTTTAGTGGCGACAATGCTTGTTTGGATTGCACTGGTCCTAGAACACCCATTGAATTTCATACCAACTCATGTGTGAAGGAATCAAATGCTGCTGAGTCAACAATGTTAACTGCTTCAATGGCCGCAATGGCAAGTTGTGAGTCGTATAACACCACCGTTAAACATGACTGGAATGGAAAACTCGATGAGAGTGCAGCTGGCAGTGGGAGCAAGCGACATCAGGAGCAAAAGCAGTCGAGCTATTGGAGCGGAAACGGTGATAGTAGCCATCAACAAAAGCATGCCCAACCACAGTTAGAAGTGTGGAAATTATCGCAACAACAAAAAAGCAATTACGATCTCTACAAAGAAGCGACCGAGTTGCTGGGACTCTCTTGTACACTTTGTGATAACTGCCGTTGCCTCGAATGTCAGGTAAGTGAGGGCGAACAATTAACTTTTCAATTTTATATCTAGTTGTGCCCACGCATGTGTGTTTATGAACGCAGTTTATTCAGTTAAATTAAAATCAAAAAAATATGTTAAAACTTAATATTTTTATCTTCAATGCTCTGAAATATAATACTAATTTTACTGCCTTTTATTTTATTTTAAAAATTTAATCAGCCATCGAATATATATGTAATGAATATAATCTCATTATCTTTTCTTCGTCAGCGCAGGCGATCACCTCGCAGTTACTACTTTCGAAATTCTCTAGTAAATTGCTGACGAAGAAGATCCAGGGACACCACATTGCGGGGTGCTTCTAATCGTCCGGTTAAGGCATGAAGTCTCCCTCCTAGCAACAGTTCTAGCATGCAAAAGATTTACGAGAAAATTATTTAATTTAAACCCTCTCTTATTATGCAAAGATTTCCGCCAAAGAATGGTAAACAAGAAAACGTGGATTGAGCATGAGGAAAACTTTCAGCCTCATTATTTAGGTCTACTCAGGAAATAAGGATTATCCATCTACATCTGGTGGACTCATACTTTTCCTACTCCATAATTGGGACCAGGGATTTACATACATATATATTTGATGTTTTTATCATTTAATTTTAAAAAATCAATAATTTGTTTAGGCTCAATTCAACTGGAATTGATAATTAACTTATCAAACGCTAAATAAGCGTACAATTAATCCCCTTTTTTACATTACGAAAACAGTCGAGCAACCATTGTTCGGTCACGTGGCAACTCTTCGCTAATTATTGGTTTATGAATGAAAAAATTTCTTGCCTTTCGGTGCCTCGTTTTCGGGCAGGTGCACTAAGTGATTTTTTTGTTTTATAAGAGTTATAAATTGACGAAATACAGATTTCGATTGCTATGGATGACGAACCAATCGATGTAGACACACTTTTCGTTACAGAAGTACGATCGAACATAGAATTTCACAAATATTGGGGGAAATATGTGCAGAAGAATGAGGGATTAATCTAGAAAGAACTACGCTTTCCTTCTTTAGTTCTTGTTTAGAATGGGATTGATCACCTAAATTTGATGAAACTTGGTTAGTGAAATCGTTAGCGCGACCAGTACCAGGAAGGATGTTATGGGTCCACATATCACATAACTCATCTCATATTATTTGAGAATCGCTCATTCTTATATTCAATCCTCCATGAGCTAAACTACACCAAACCACCTAACTAAAATACCGTTTTACCCTCATTTAGGCAGTCCTTAGTTGGTTTGCCTTACTTTTTTCAGCCATATTGATATTTCACTCTAAAACTTTATTTACAGAGTAGCTACTTTGACTGTGATGACTCTGACAGCTTGCCCGATCTATCCAATTCAGAGGAGTTCGACGAGGAGACCATGAATGCGATAAACAGCTCTGTTGATCTGGTGATGTATGCTCATTGCTACAGCGACAAGGCGATGACAAACAATGGGATATCAACAACTCAATCAGAACAACGTTGGAAAATAGCCGACCAATCGCAACGACAGACGCAGCAGACACATCACATAAGTCATGCTGTAAATTGCAATGCAACGGATTTGTTAGATAGTGGATATGACAGTTGTAAATTGGCTGTTGATGATGAGGTGCATTCAAGTGAACGCCACCCACCCAATGAGATAGAAAATTTTATGAGTTTCAACGAGCTAAGTTTGTCGGATATCGGCGTAGAGGCGTCTTCTGGAACCGAAAAGGAGAGACGAGGATAGATATTCATGTACATATGTACATATGTACATGATTGATTCTATATAAATATGTAAGTTGCTTTATTTAAACAACGGTTGTTTGCTTGTAACAGAGTATAAATAAGTTGGATATCGGTATTTAAATATGTGGAAATCGGATTTTGAGTCTTAACCAAAATTGGCCATTGCCTTATCCCCTTGCACTACAAATAACAATATATTTCTAATTAAAAAACACTATAATATGTAATATACATATTCGGGGTAGTGGGGGACATTAAATCAAGTCAATGTGCTCGTACTATGCTGAGTAAGCGCAAACTACTGTTAAGGTAAGATTAAGTTAGGTTGATTGGGCTGATCCATCGAGTCTAATATAGACGACTATGGACGTATTATAGTGATTGCAGACACACTACATACAACCAAGCTGTACTGCTACACTCTTTGACGTTTTCGATCCTTGGGCATTGCCGATTGAAGGCTCTCTGCGCTAAATAAGTTTAGTCTTTGTCCGACGAAAGCTTTGCACTCACACAATACGTGTTTCACTGCCTCCACGCACTCCCTACATTTCCAGCATTTATTATTCCCAATTAGATCTATATTAAGAGCACTCAATACCTCGTTAATTTACCATTAGTAATAACTTTGTGAGTTCAGCTCTCCAAAGGTTTTGCACAAAGTTATTGTGATTCCGAAATATCTTCACATGACGAAGTAAGATTACTCCTTGCGATTGTTTTAATGCTCTGAATAGAACTGTTCTAAAAGCACACCCTCCTTAGCTAGTTTGTCAGCTATCTCATTACCTGCAATACCCGTGGGACCTAAGTCTCAGTATTTGTACCACCTCTTTACCTCTGCTTGTCTGCAGCCATTCGCCTCTGTTGTAGCTGACCATAGCTCTCGACAGTCAGACGCGAGATTATGTGGCATAACTGTGCCCGTAGGTCTTGATTTTTAGTATATGGCAGATAGAAAGGTTTTGTTTTTAGCCGGAAGATTTGCTGGTGAAATACGTAAAACGTATGTAGCGCTGCTGATAGTGGTGTTTTGAGTGTCCTAGTGTTGCTGATCATTGAGCGTCTGAAGACCCTTTCCAGACTATCCTATGTTAACCATGGCCTTCTACCATTTTAAAGATACCCCTACGGGTTAAGGGCGCAAGAATTTACCCATGGTAAGGCATGGCTGTCGTAAGAGGTGACTAAAATCCAATAGCTCCCACGACTGTCGGGTCTTTATACCGGAACGACCCGGATTTTTATCCCAAAAACCAATTCGGGGAATAATTTGCGGTTGCAACAACAACAACCATATTAAAGGTCCAGTTAAAGATAGCGGGGGGAGAAACCCCCGAATTGGAATTTTGTATTTGCCTGTGAATAGAACCAAACCCATTTGAACAGAATTAATTTAACGTGTTAACCAGTTTTCATTGGTTCCAAGTGCTTTTCGTTCACGAAATCAGACTATATTCTCCAAATGTTGAACTTCAATAGATGACTTTACGAAGTTCTTCAAATCCTTATTTCATGCCGTCTACTAAACTAAGTTGGAATCTTCTAAGCATTAACTAACATTATTCTATATAACATATACCGTTGAAGTTTTTTTCATACGAATACTAAGGTTGTGTGTTAATCGGGTGAAAACTGTAAGTTTTGACAGCGAACCTTGAAATTCTGACATTTCTCGTGGTGAGTACAAATGTCAAAATTTTACCTAGCGCCAGAGGCGTTTGAATAAATGCTATGGAGAGCATAACAACATAATAATAACAACAATAAAGGAATGCATTGGACAATTTTTGTGAACGTGCTGCAACAAATTCTTAAAGGTGCCCAAATTTTTCAACACCGGACATAATTGTTTTGGCCTAAGAATTACCTGGCGAGTATGCCGTTGCCTAAGACACTGAATTAACAACAAATCACCAATTGAATTCATTGCTTCTGTTTCATTGGTAAAGAAAAGTATTTTCTTTGTATTTTATTAATTTTTTATTAGTGCTCCAAAAATATATGCAACTTTTTCATTTTGTTTACGAATTTACAATTTTATTTTGTCACAGCAGCTTCATTTCGTTCTATACGAGTATATCAGGTGTACAACTTTGCTTCCGCCGTTTTCCGATAGGTGGCTGTAACGGCTGAGGCTGGTTGAAATACATAGATGATAATGCCTTTCGCCGTTTCAGTGACTTGTTCTTGTTTTCGTATTATTCACGCTCGAAAATGTCCGTTTATGTGCCTAATTCTCGCCATTTGCGGGAAGTTTTACTTTTCTGTTACAATTCGAAAAAAAAAAAAAATACAGCTGAAGCGCATCGAATGCTCTCAGAAACTTGCCGGGATGCTGCTCTGAGTGAAAGAACGTGTCGGGAGTGGTTTTAACTTTTTAAAAATGGCGATTTCGATGTCGAAGACAAACATTATGGTGGAAGAGAAAAAACCTTCAAAGATTTACTACGAGCTCATATAACCCGGTGAAACCATCGCAGGAGATCGCTACCGAACACAACTGATGCGCCTCAGTCGCGCGCTGAAAGAAAAACGGCCACAATATCAAGAGCGACATGACAAAGTCATCCTCCAACACGACACAAAAAGTACCTGGAAACGCTGAAATGGGAAGTCTTGCCCCACCCGCCGTATTCCCCAGATGTCGCCCTTTCTGACTTCCACCTATACCGCTCGATGGCACACGGCCTGGCAGATCACCATTTTCAATCCTTCGAAGAATTGGAAAAATGGATTGCTTCATGGATAGCGTCAAAAGAGGACTCCTTTTTTCGAGCCGGGATCCGAAAATTGCCGGAAATATGGGAGAAAGTTGTCGCTAGCGAAGGACAGTACTTTGAATAATATATCTGTAAGCACTTTTTCGCAATAAAGCTTTTAATTTTAGAAAAAACGGCGCAAACAAAGTTGTACACCTGATAATTGGCGCTTGGTAACCGCTGAAGCGATTTTTGGCCGAACTCCTCCTCTAATTTGTATCTTTTTTGCTTTTATTTCATATCAGGAATACACTGGGAGAGTTAGACGTTCCCTGCCGTGGGGCGATTGCAATGAGAAAAATTAATTTTCGGTAATTTTCGATGTTGGTCGATCCAGGACTCAAACCCTGGCCGATAGAATGGCGGCCGCCTTGGGTCTATACAAACCTAATACCCCGGTAATTAAGTAAAAAAGTAATAAATTTATACTTAAATAATTTGAAGAGGATATCACTAGCCAACATATAGTCCTCCATTAAATTAAAGCAATGAAACTTGTGCAAGTTCACTTTTTTTTACACCATTTTTCCTATGCCCATACATAAATATAAATGTAGTTGCACAGTTAGTTTCAATTCAATTGGTGAATATATTTTACCGCAAGCCGACTCGTCGAAAAGACTGTCATCTCGACGAAGTAATTCTCAATGTTTATGACCTTTGAATGAGCTTCTGAGTACTTATTTTATTTGAGGTTAATTTTTGGTGATAAAAAATGCGAGCGAAGGATATTGTGGAAATCATTTAAGCAGAAGAAAAGTGTGGGAAGACAAGGAGAACGAAAAGGACAAACCACAAGACCTACACTAACAACAAAAAGAGCCCTATCTGTGGGGAACGAACATGACATTTCTGCAATGTCGGCTGCCTACAATTAAATTGGTTGAGAAAAACGAAAAGTCTTGCAAAAGCGAATATTATATGAAAATGGAAGTGGAAATGCAAACAACGGCAAACTATATCAAACGGAAGCACAAGGCCACATATTTACCAACAAGCAGAAACGGCAATTGGACACAATTCGCAATCGTAAAAGTATGAATATACAACAATGGGCATTTCCAGGGATCCCCCAAAGACAATGTATTGATATTGTTGCTTGTGTGTGTGTGCAAATCTATGTTAATTCGTATATGTACATATTTATATGTATAACACAAGTGTATATACATACATATGTAGTCAGTTCTTACTTTTCATTTAAAATGTAAGCAAAATTACACATCACTGGCACATTCAGAAGATTTATAATTTCGTACTGTCATTCGGAAGACTAGGGTTCAAGTCTAAATCAAACCAAAAAAATCCAAAGTTTTAGAAAAATAATTTTGGTAATTGTGGTCGGTATGGATTGTCATGCACTACGAGTCTATCGGCCGTTCTAAGGCGGCTAAAACTGTGTAATAAACTGTAGATCCCTCCATTTTGTAAGAAAAACATCATTTCGCATACCACAAATTGGATGAGGAGCTCGGCCGAAAATTGCTTCAGCGGCTACAAAGTGCATATATTGTTTTCCAGATATGTGAGTGTAAATCTACCAACTAAAGAAATATTTCGAAATTGAAAAACTCCCAAACTGCCGAATAATCCGCCAGAGAGGCAAAATAAATTACATTACAGTTAGCATTGCACCGCTGCGTGCAACTTTGGTCTCTATGCGTACTGCCGCTTCCATCGGCGCAGCATCGCTGTTGATGCGATGCAGAAAGAAGTAAAAACGAGGCGAAGGATTAATTAAATCAAGCTCCATTTAACAAGGCGGTCAGTGGGTTGGAATGCGCTGGTTCGCTAAGTTGTTGAATACATATAAAGGGTCCCACGTGACTCTCACATAAGTAAATAAAATCTTAATTCCTTTTCCATTAAATGTATGTTTTTCATTGTAATGCCACAGGTTTATAATAATTATGGTACTTACATAAGCATGTGTATATGTATGTATACGTATGGGAGTTCTTCCATTAGAGAGTTAGAGAGGCCTTGAACATTTGACCTGCGCTTTAATTCTCAATACGCTTTTACGAATTGCCAACTCGAACTTTCGTCATCTGCTTCTACGTAACTGTGAAAGGTATTATATTCGTTCATGTGTATGCTTACGAGTATACACCTACATACACGTATGTATGTGTATCTATGTATGTATGTGCTCCAAAAGTTAACCGTAATCCTTCACTGAAATATGGCTAAAGTTTGAAAACTTACTGACATTGGCATTTGCCTCAATCGCTTCTTGTGAAGAAAACACAAATCATACACAGAAGGTACTTACTGGCTTACTGGAACAAGAAGGTGTTCACA